GCCATTGGACCAGACTTCATTTTTATGGATGACAATGCCCGGCCACACCGTACTGCTAATGTTCAAGAGGTACTGGAAAGTGAAGATATCACACGAATGGATTGGTCAGCTTACTCTCCAGATCTAAATCCCATAGAGCATGTGTGGGATGCATTAGGGAGACGTCTTGCGACACGACAGTATCCTCCTGGTAACACCCATCAGGTGAAAGATGCGTTAAAGGAGGAATGGAGAAGTTTACCCCAAGAACTCCTGGATAATCTGGTGCTTAGCATGGAGAGACGATGCCAAGCAACAATTACAGTAAGGGGAGGGCATATCCCATACTAGGGAACATCTGCCAGTTGTACTTACGCTTCTTCAGGCAATCATTTGTAACGCCACTATATGTCAAATAAAGCCTTTTTTTGTTCCATACCCTACTTTAAGCTTTATATTCATTTCTGCGCCATTATTCTTTTACCATCGTTTAAGTACAAAATTACGTACATCATATTCAAATTTCATGTCAATCGGATGATTTCTTGTAGAGTTATAACAAAAAACGCACTTGTTGCTTAAGTTTTGTACACCAATGTATTACTTGTATGAATTAAATATTTATTCCAAATTTATTTTTATAAAATTTAATTTAATGTATTTGAAGCTAGATTTCAAAATATTATCATTTCATCAAATATGTCAAAACTTGATAACCAAACAATTGAAACCAGTAAATAATTGGTACAAAATATTATTTCTAGTCATGAATAATATCTACGAAAAATTTTTAAAAAATAAAATAATTTAAGAGCGCTACAAAACTGGGGTTCCGTGCAAACTAGAAGGAATTGTAAAATAAAAGAGCACCGTAAAATCAAATTCCCACCATAAATTTAAAGAACTTCATAAAATAAAGACTCTCATGAAATTAAAATAGCAGTTTAAATTTTGATTTCTTACAAAATCAGACACCACTTTAAGTTTAGTGAGCACATTTAAATCGTAGAAAGTAATACAAAATGCAAAGCAAGATATTTTTATTGGCTTAAATGATTGGAAAAATTTTGCATTAAGTAAATTAAAAGTATTAAATTATATAAAAACTATAGCAGCTGGTAAGCTGGCTTTTAGAAATCTACTTCAATAAATTCAAAGAATTTTGATAAATCAATCCAAATAAGTGTAAGAAGTAGGCAAATTAGTGAGGATTAATGTAAGTTGTTCTCGCAATCATTCTTATTAAAATATAAAGATTGAAAAGTTTTAAGAGTGCCACTAAATTGGAGCTTACTGTAAAACTAGTGAGCACATTAAATTCAGCACTGTAAAATTAGAGAGCGTCACAAAGCAGATGAGTGCTGATACTTTATAACGACAAAATTAGAAAGCATTAAAAAATTAGAGAATCTAACTTAACAAGAGAGTAAAGTTTTCGAGCAAAAATATGCATGACATATTTACTGTTTTTAAAAAGTAAATTATTATTTCATTTAATCCGTTTCTCAATAAATAAAAAACATTGATGTAATTGATAATCACTTTATTTGAAAATTGCGGAATTTTATTTTATTTCAAAATCAATCTATTTTTACTGATTCCCTCTACATCTGCGTTATAATGCCACGCAATAGAGAAATCAACGTAAGCGACAAAAAAATTCAAAATTGTGATTTATGTATATTTGGCATTTTTATAGATAGCTTATCTCATAAAAATGCCAAATATACAAAATTCTGTATTCTGAATTTTTAGTCGCTTACGTTGATTTTTCTATTGCATGGTAGTATATATCTCTGCGGAATTCGAAAACTGTTACATAGTTAGTTACTGTTTTGTTTTTATTACAATTCGTTATTATTTCTCACACTTTTCTATTCCGCCAACTTATTTGAATGCCTTAGGATAAGAAAATGAGTAGTAATCTAACTAAGTTAATCTAATTAAATAAGTAATCTAATTAAACAATAACATAAAAAAGTTTGTAGCCAATGCATGGATTCCTTAACTTTCTTGGCAAATAATATCTTCTGACATCTACATATCACTTACATTTTTGATTTCTTAGGAGTCGGAGGTGACTTGTGAGATTTGCCCTTTCAACCAAACTCTCTGAATACTTTACAAAATATATTATTATTGTTTAAGAATCTTTTTTTTTTTGTTGAAAAAAGCAATTTATTTGCAATGGAGCTCTTGATTAGCAAAAATAAAAAATATTTTTCTATTATTAATCCAATCTGACTCATCAATAAATTATCATTAAATTTTTACTATCATAATTACTGTTACATAATTGTTATCATCATTAAATTGTTACTTCATACCCTCACCAACATCGATAAACTTTTCTTCGCAAGTGCAAAAATTAAAAAAAAGTTAATTTTAATACAAAGTAAGAGTTGTTTCTCTGATTTATAAAAAAGTTTAAAATTTTTTGCGTAATTAATTTCAAATTGACAAAGAAATTTTTAAAATTTTTTTCTCTATTCTTAAAAATAATTTATTTTTTATTCTTTTCAAAGACTTGTTTCTAATTTTCTGAAATAAAATCTGATAGTATTTGTTCTGATTTAAACTTTATTCTTTTCAAAAACTTGCTTCTAATTGTTTGAAATAAAGGCTGTTAGCATTTGTTTTAGTTTAAACAAGTAGTATTTAAGTAGCACGCCTTTTTCAAATTAACCACAAAACAAAACTAAAGAACAACGTTCTAAAATGTCTGATTCAATACTGTAATAGCAAATGGTATTCATTTTCTTTGCATATACTAATGAACAAATATTTTTTAAATTAAATATGATTTATAACTTCTAAAAGTAAAAATCAGAACCTTGACAAAGATGCCACTATGACAAATACAATCTTGTGCAAAAAAACTTTCGGTTCGTCTTGATTAAAATTATATCTACTGTAGAACATAATTCGTGATTTAACGGAAAACAATATCATTTTGTTGTATTGTTTCAGTTGTTTTTTAATGAAGTTCGTGAAAGTAATGCACCTGTGTTTGCAATATCCCTTCAGCTCGTTAGATTTATTTCAAAAGAAGAGCTCAAGTCAAGAAATAAATGACATAATGTTCGCTACATGGAAAATTTCAATACATCTCTAGACTATTTTTGTATTCGAGCAATTATATTTAATACAAAATTCTGCTTAAATGAATTATTGGGAAACACACTTCCTAAACTGAAAAAAATGGTGTAATATTAAGTATTCTTATTGGTTACGAAAATTAGGAAATAGGCTAAGAAAGTAAAACCAGTAATTAGTAAATTTTTTTCTTTTCTCTAGAAAATCTCTAGAATTTTTTTTTATTCGAGCAATTATATTTAATACAAAATTCCGCTTAAATGAATTATTGGGAAACACACTTCCTAAACTGAAAAAATGGTGAAAGAATAAGTATTTTTATTGGTTACAAAAATTAGAAAATAGGCTAAGGAAGTCTACTCTCCAGTAAGTGAAACCAGTAATTAGTACATTTTTTCTTTTAAGAACTTCAGAATATGGTAGCAAACATTTCATAACTTTCATTAAGAAATTATTATAAAATATTTTATAACGTACAAAGAGTTAAAAAAAATATATTCTAAGAAAATTTTAATATAAATCATATTGACTATAAATAGCTTAGTAAATTCACGTTTGAATGTAACTTTTTTTTAAAAATAGTTTAATAATTTTAATTGCGCTAACATTAGTTACAAAATAATTGAATAAAAAAATTTGAATGGAACTGAATTTAGTTAGGAACTGTTTATAAAAATCGAAGTTTAAATAAATTAATATTAAGTTACTTACCTCAACTTTTCCATGATTTATAATAAACATTTCACGACCTGGAAAAAAAATTAAAATCGCAATATTAAGAAACGTAAAAAGTAAACGTTTTAATTAGTCTCTATTTAAATCTAAAAATGTCTGAAATATATCCTTAATCTCTAATAAAGCAAAGGGTGCCTTTGTGCTATAGTATTATATAGTTGAGAACAGTACCGTATAAAAGCTTAAATAAAAGCAATTAACAGAGAGAGATTTAGAATTTAGTACTATAACAAGTAAAGTGGGAAGAAGAAAGGGGATCAAGATTAAAAAAAAGTATAATCATTGTTAAATGTGAGATAAAAGTAAGAAGAACCAAAGTATTCCAGGATATAGTTAGTAACAAGAATAAAACCAGAAATAAAACTGAGGAGTAAAAATTAAACTAAGGGATATTTCTCAACAGTTTGTAAATGATAAATACCAGATGCGTCCCAGATTAATTCATTAAAACTTTTCTGAATATTAAATGATTCCCAGTTATCCAAGTGAAGTAGTTTGCAGAAAAAATTAAATCCATTGATTATAGTTCTAAAAATGTTGTGCGATAAAAGAATGTTTAGTATTTTGATAAAACCCCTTATTTATAGGCGAGTTTTGCCAACACCTCCTAAAAGTAGAAAAGCCTAAGCACGGATCAATTTAGTAGTCCGATGTGACGAAGTTAACTGCACGTTAGACGAAAAATAAGAAAGATGTCATTACGTTAGGGGTACTGAGCTGCGCAGTGGTTGAAAATACAAAACATGTCATTACGTTTGGACTACTAAGGGATATTTATGGTAACCCGTGCTGAGTTTTGCCGTCTCTGCAAAATGCTTTATTTGCAGATTTTTTTGTTATCCATTTTAACAATTAATGATTAATCGCTTATTTTATATTTTACAACTGTTGGCGAACAGTTGATCCAATTTTGAGTTTACGACTGCCAATGTCCATCTCCGTACATTTTGTACATCATCAAGAAGACAAAGGAACTACTGGATTAAGTATTAGGCGAAAATTGACTTCGTAGAGGACTTTTTGATGGGACTAACCCACATTTGGGAGTTACATTGTGGAAAAAACCACGAATATCTTCCACGGTTAGTCTGACGGCAAGGGGACTTTTATCCATGATCCATCTAACACTTATGATATTTCGTCGCTTTGAAACTAAACCGTAGTAACTCAAAAAAAAATCGAAAAATGAGATATTTGGGTCATTTTGTGTAAAAAAATCACCCTTTTAGAGAAACAACGTGCTATCTTCATAGTTCCATAAAATTAATTTAGAGAGCAGATAAATCGTATTGGCGGGATTCGCCATCTTGGTTTTAGGGAATAGTGTAGCAGTGTGCCAGTTGCAACAAAACCTTGGAGGAGATAACGTCGCTTTGAAACTAAACCGTGGTAACTGAAAAAAGCACATTTTTCAGGAGAGAGATTTTTTTCCTACACTGTTGTATGTCGAAATTTGAAATGAAATATGCAATATTCGGGAGGATATTTTGAAGAACACCGTTGCATTTTGAAATGACTCTCCACTTTTAATAAACGTTTTAGAGAAAAGTGTTGCAACTCAAAGTACCTTAACTTATTTCGAAATTACCACAAAATTAAAAATGCTACGAGAATCAGGCCTGGTTCATTAAAAAATGTAACGAAACAGAGTTTTTTTGATGCAAACTATTTTGCAACAGTCTTAATAGCTTCGAATCAAACTGCGGTGGAAGTTCCTGAAAAGTTAGAAATCGCTCTCCTGAGAAACTTGCTTTTTTGAATTGCCACTGTTTAGTTTCCAAGCGACGATTTTAGATCAACCCTGTTGTCTGGGTGAGCTGGATGTGGAATCCGTATTGACTAGTCATTGCTTGGATTCGAATCCAGGCCACCTTAATGGGAAGCTCCTCTGAGCCATAACGGCCCGCTTATTTACTATAAATGAAATTTGAAGAGCCGTTGTGGCTCAGAGGATGGAGGGCTTGCCTCCCAACAAGTTAACCTGTTTACGAATTCAGGAGATGTCTGGTTTGGTTTATACGCATTTGTGTTACATGGAGTGGAAAACCATAAAAATATCCCACTGTTAACCCCACGGCAAAGGAATGACCCATGATTCGTCTATCTCCGAGAGTATTTTATGTCAGCACTGAGGTCGGGTGCGAACCGTAAGCAGAATTCGAATCGGCCAATCGTTTCTGGGATTTAAACCTGGGTCACTCCTTTGATCCACCACGGCTCCTACAAAGAATTTTATTATATTTTTTGTCAAATTGTTTTCGGAATTCAGCATCATATGTTTTTTGTTCGTAATTAAGTTTTTATATATTACCTGTTTCGCCCGCTCTGCAGACGTAGTCGCCGGGAGAATATACTTGCGAACGAAGTTTGAGTACTAGTTCGCAAAGGAATCCGGTTTCACATTGCTCGAAAATTTTAACCTGGAAAATTTTCATAGCAATTAATATCAAAGTTGATAATTCAAGAAAATAATATTAAAAAAGTAATATTCCTAAATCACAATTAAATATTCTAAAATGTTGATTTGCATATTGAGTAAAAGGGAAAAAAATGAGGAATAGCAAACCCGCATAGGATTTTGTATTAGTTAAATGCAGTAATTCTAAATAAATATGCGTAAAAGTAATTTAAACTAATCAAACAAAAAGGTTCAACAATAACGTTTTTATCTAAACTCAGAAAATTTCTACATGGAGAAAAAAATTCGGGCTAAATTATCATACTTTAAGATAATGACATTCCTGATAAAAAAAATATAATATTAATTTTTGTAAATAAAACTAAAATATATGGTGTTTTAATCACTCATTAGGTAATTTTTCTGTTTATGCGGTAATGGCTCACTAGAAATTTTGGTTCCTATTAGTACACATGGTAAAAAAATACAAAACTGAAAAGTAAATTTAACACATTAAATGTTTTTTATGCCATGCTCTAATAAGTTACAGTAGAAATTTTCAGAAAAAGTCGTGCGAAAAACTAGTCTTCATGAATCGTCCTCAATCGTCACCACTTAGTTGATTGACAGGAGTTCCACCAATAGTGGTGCGTTTATAATGTTCATGAGACTTTATACATTGTATTCGACTCACAGAAAGTGGGGCCTACTTACGATATAAAATTTTACAGTAAAAAGTTCCAGTTCACAGGATGCCGGTACTTTTTGCCGCAATTTGATCTGGAATTTTTAACGGTCTATGCATACAGACAAACGTTCAAATTTTAATGAAAAATTACTAGATATATTTAAGATAATGATTTCCATATGTTGTAAATTTAAGAGGAAATTTTAGATCTAAGCAAGATTTTGACTTTCAAAGTAGTTGATAAATATGAATAAAAGTATACATCTAATATACAGGTTATTCAGATTAGTTTTTAATTTATTTATTATATTTACAGGGAATACTGGTGATTGCCAGCAATTACACAAAATCGCCAAGAATAAGACAGCTAACAACAGTTTTTAGTGTTATCGTGAGAATTAAACTTTCAAATTGACAATTATCGTCAGTTCCAACGAGGAAGTGACAATCGGTGGATTTAAGGCTACTATACTAGGTCTAATTCAGGGGCTCTAGGTGGATTAACAACAGCTTGGACTGGTATAGTCATGACATAAAACAACCAAGAAAAAAAATACCATGAAAAAGACCAATTAAATTTTTAAACCAGCAGCTGCAAAAAACGCGAACATCAGATTAAATTTTTTGTAAATTTTCGGGTTTAAGATTTAATTTAAGCTATGAGAACAGCCACCTTTTTTAAGCTATCTAAATGCACATGAACTGCAACTTCAGCTCGTAATCTCTCGGGTAACATATTCAGCAAACGTGACTCATCAGTTGCTTTAGTTCTGAAATAGAAAAAAAAATGTCTTATAGATAGTTTGAAATAATAATTTTGTTTTGTAGACAGTTTAAATAGCAAAAATATTTAATGCTAAGTTATTATGTTGCTAAATAGCAAAAATATAATATCTTATTTAGGCGTCTTCAGTGTAATTAAGAAGCATGTACAACTTATTTACCGTTTCATAATAGTAATTTGCTAACTAAATATCTTTGACATTAACAATTAAAAAATGAGAGAATACCATGTCATATACACCGAAGAGCCATTACATTATGACCACCCTGCAAATAACATGTAGGACCACCTTTAGCCCTCAAAACTGCTAACACTTGCTATGACATTGATTCCACAAGGTGCTGATAGGTAGTCTGAGGTATCTGGTACCAAGAGCTCACCAACTGGTCCTGCAATTCCCTCACATTGCGAGGGGGTAACGGGGCAGCACGAATTTGGTTTTCGAAGTAGGACCACAAATGCTCTATTGGATTAAGGTTAGGTGAATTTGGGGGCCAAGACATGACTTGAAAGTCACTGAAATGTTCCTGGACGATTCGACCCTTACGACATGGTTAATTATCCTGTCGGTAAACACCGTCCCCTGCAGGAAAAACTGTTGCCATGAATGGGCGAACTATGCTCAAGTGCTTCAAGTGACGTCTTACAGACGTCAGGGATTGTTCTATGAGGATTATGGGTCCTAATGTGCCCCATGAAAACATTTTTCCTGGGCGAGAAACCATGAAAACCTGGGAGAACCCATTGTGATAGATGGAGGGTGGTCATAACGTAATGGCTCTTCAGTGTATCTTATAATAAGGGAACAAAACTTGGAAGGAGCACTTTATATTTTAATAAGGGAACAATACTTTTAATTTCAACTAATTTCAAGTTCCCTTGAAATATATAAATTTAATTGGATATATTTGATATCTCTCTATATTAAAATATCGAAAGGGTTTGAGTGTTCAATTTACAGTAAGTTGATTTTAGTTTGTTACGTAAAAAATATAAAACTTAGAAATGTGAAGTTACTAAAGTGTGGAGAAAAATGTACAAGAATTACGGTGGGATGAAAAGAATTATCATTTGTCAATTCGAGAATTATTAAACACTAATCTTTTCAGAAAAAAGACAGACCGCAGTAATGCAACTGAGAAACTGAAATTTGATATGCTGAAAAAACCGTATTTGTATATGAACATAACACAGAGTTTTTTTTTCTTAAAGATATTATAATTTGTTCGAAAGTTATTTCAATTTTAAGTGCTTTTTGTGCGTATTTTTTCCTACTTTTTTCTGCTTTACGTTATATTTTGTTTTGCCACGCAAAAACTATAAAACTTAAAAACTTGAAATCGCGATGATTTATAAACATATATACAAAAAGTTTGATGGAATAAAAAATGCCATGATTCAATTATTATTTCGAGAATTTTTATACTTGTTGTTAAAAAAGAGCCTTGATGGTCAATCTATTGCCCACTGAAATTCAACTACAAATTTAAAATTTGAGGTGCTGATAGAATAATTTTGAACTATGAAATTTATTTTCCAATGTTTCAATTTGTGCAATGGTTATTGCAAGTTTAAGTGCCTTTTTTTCAATTTTATTACTTTAAAGAATAATTATTTACCCATTGTTGCAGAAAATTTCATTTTTCTTGCAGTTTTTATTTTATGAGCTCGAGCTTTACTTGACGTCAAAAGTAACAAAAAAATGAATAAATAAAAAGTAAGAGGTTAGATGCTGCCAGTTATAAATCTTGATATTTATATCGAAAGTTTAAAAGTATTAGGACTAATGAGATAGAAAACTGTTTCCAATAGAGATACCCAAGTCAGAGGCTGAACTAGACCTGTGTTTCACTATTATTCATTCAATTTCTATCAGCACTGTTCCTATTGGAAAATTCGTGATCCTATCCTAATAGAAACGTATTACTACTGGTTATGACTGTAATTGATTGATTATTGTAGGATTTCCAGGGGACAAGTTAGTGCAGACACGTCAGCTTAGGCATCTCTAGGTGGACTTTAATGTGATGTGAGGTCATTGTTACATATAATTACTTCTCATTTATTATTTCATATTATGTTTCGCATTCTGTATTCCTAAAGTATAATTTTTTTCATTACTTCTCATTTATTACTTCATATTATGTCTCTCATTCTGTATTCCTAAAGTTTAATTTTTTTCAAATACAGTTGACGATTTTAAAATCTAGCAATCCGTTCATTTCGTTATTACACATACTCGTCATATATTCGTCATGACAAATTTTTTTAAAATGTGCTTAGATAAAATTGTAATATTTATCGATTTTATAAACAATTTTTTTTTATATAAATCGACTGAAGGGGAAAAAAATGATGAATGAAAAGCAACCAAGGGGGTCAGTGAGCGGTGTACACAGTAGACAAAAAAAATTAAAACTTACCTAGACCACGTGTATTCTGCCCATTTCTTTATTTTTAGCTGCAATGAGGCTGGAACTTTTTTATGTGTTAAATACATTTGAATTTCATCCATTCTGTATGAGAGAAAATTAATAAAAAATTGAATTAGAAACAATAGCAATAGATTTGTGTGGATTAAGGAAAATTATTTTTCGTGCACTCAATTTGTCGAGTTTTTATTAAAATACCAAAAAGCAACAAATTTAAAAAAATGAAACATAGAAAAATAATTGTCGAGAGAAACTTCTTGAAATTTTTTTAGCATCAATGGGATAATAAGGAAATACTATCTTTTTCTCAACATACTATATTAATTATTTTTATTACCCTCTATACTATTTTATACATTTCTCGGTATTTCTTTTATTATACTCAAATCAAAATGCACAAATATCCGTATTATTATACATAAAAGATATTTATAAATATAATGATCACTGTGTTTGAAATGATAACTGAATAAAAAGTCATTGTGCAGTAATATTCAATTTTTTTTTATTTAAAAACAGAAATTAGTAAATTTACCAATTTAATTCTTTCTCTTTTAAATTGTTAATTTCATGGGAATATTATTTTTTGTAACTTGAACTTAAAACAATCTCTTATAGTGCCCAATTTTATAGTAATTGTCAGTAATACCATGAATGTACTAATATTACCAAGAATTTACACTATTATATACTGCAAAAATGATTGCAAAATGGAACACTTTTAGCATTTACAACGTATCAAAACGGTTTAAACTCCAAACAATTAATGTTTCTTAAAATATAGAATTCACTTCTTTTGCTGTCACCACACTGTGAAAAATTCCGGATCAAATTACGGTGTAAAGTACATCATTGTACACTTTGGGTGCATCATAGGTAAAATCTATTCTAGTGGTAGTATTAAAACGCAATTTTTACAATAATATTTACTTAGAGTGATTTTACGGATATTATTTTAGTAAAAATTACAGTATATCAGATTTTTTCGTTCCGTAACATGTTCGGGTAAAAATTGATTTTAAGATCAAAAGTATTGACTTTCTGAGTTCCGATACTTTTTACAGGATATATAATCCCAATTTTTAACCAATATAAAACCTTTAATTAACGGTTTCTCGATGGTCTTGTAAGCATTGTAAAAGTATCTTAAGTGGTATCAAATGCCTCTACGTCAAAAATTCTATTTCACGACGCAGTTTTGCTATTCACGCTTCCACCAGAATTGAAATTCTCTGCTTGTGTGTTGCCTTCGGATCTTTATATCATCATTTTAAACACTATATAAGACATGATGGGAATAAAGTTTTTAATATTACTAAAATTAAATTTTTTTTCTGGTTATTTTTGCTTAGTCAATCAGTTGAGGAAAAATTAGGTTATGCATATTGACAGTGCAGGATGAATATCTGCTAGCAGTCTCATTAAATGGAATTAAGTAGTCAATAAAATGCTAGCAGTCAGTAAAACCGATTTAAATGTAATTTCTAAGAGAAAGATCGAAGCATTCTTTCTTTATTCGAAAACTAAACTACTTTCAGTTAATGATATACAATTCACAAAATCACATTTTGCTTACCTGGCTTGAAATTCCTGTCTGTTGGCGTTCATACTTGATATTACATCGCCAACATTACCCATTACAGTTGCAAATACAAACACACCAGCCATAAATATCAAACCAGTGAAAATGTATTCCTTAAAGTGAAAAAAGAAATTATTACATAGTAATAATTTGATATTCTTTTATATTTTAACTTTTTGATAAATGAAGAGCAAATTAGAGGAGACTTGGACAGAACCGGGTAGGGAAATAAAACCGGGACCCAGCACTTTTGATATAAACTGCTTCTACCGTTTATCAGAAATACATAGAACTTGTTTGAGAGAGAACAAAATGTTTTGTGAAAACGATAAAAATTTATCGTATTTCTGGCTCTAATAGGAACACTAATAAAATTGGTAATTTCAACCGAAGAGCTTAGTCAAATGAAAAATAAAATATTGTTAAACAAATTGGTAAATGTGGTAAAATTTAGTAGTTTCATCATGATACCTTCATGGCATAAAAGCTATTTCTAATCAGTTAAATTTACATTTCATTTTCGTATTTTTTATTTAATGTGCGGTAATAAGAACTATAATTTTGAAAACCAGAATTTCCGGTAAGCCTTTACCATATGAACAGATAAGTTTAGAAGTTTGAAAGCAAGTTTCGCATGGCAAAATATGCTAATTCTTCTTTATGCTATCAATCACAATTTAGGGTTAAAACTGGTCATAGCCATTTGGACATATTTGAATAGTACAATAAGCTAAACTATAGATCAAAATTTCAGGTGAGTGTTATATACTGACTCTAAATTGTATAGGTTTTCAGTTTAAAGACTCTAATAAAACGGTTTTAATTCTGCTTTCTTTTTTTTCAAATTTAGCATGATTTAAAGAAATGTTAAAACGTGTTTTAAGCATATCTAGCCAATAAATAAATGCCAGCATAGTTTAAAAACTTATATAAAGTACACGTCAGACAAAAGTTAACGTTCTTAAGTAAATCTTTACATAAATTTGATTATGCAAGTCTGTATTAAAAGTATTCTTTTTATTAATATTTGCAACTTAAACTATTTTGAATTCAGTTTCAGTTCAATAAGTTTTTATATTTAATTTAGATTTTTGAATTTTGTAATATAATTTTCTCATAAAATTTTTGGTATTCTAATTATTTATGAAAATAAAATGTTTTATTTTTATTTATTTAAGCTCTTTTGGTAAATATGTTTTTGGTTTTTACTAGAAAAAGGTATGGAGACAGTACTTGAAATATATCTATTATCAACTGCATTAATGTTTTAAAAAGCACATTATCAAACAACAGCATATGGTGCTGATAAGTAAAAGGATTCAAAAGGATTATGTGGTCGTTCTAGGAATATTGCTACCAATATAAAGATTAGAATAAAAAGAAGAAAAAAACACCATGCGAATTTTTACTTAGATTGTAAGATAAGATGGAATAAAATTCATACCACCGAAATCTAATTCTTTCCGTACCGTTATATGAATTTTTCTTTCCTGTAACCCAAACGTGTGATAAAAAAGCGTAAAAGCTCAAAAAGTGTTCTAACAACACTTAATTAAACTTAAACAGTGTCCAAAAAAGTACTGTAAAAATTGAAGATCAAAATTACTGATACCCCGAGTGCAGAATTTCTGAAATCCCTTTTTACCGTTTAATCTGATACCGTAATTTTTACAGTAATATTTATTTAATTACAGCGATTTTACACTAAATATTAATGCAAAAATTACAGCACATCAGATTTTTTCTCCCGTAAAATTTTAGGTCAAAAATGGATTTTACTAGAAAATATACTGACTCTCAGGGTGCCAGTACTTTTTTACTGTAAAGCAATACTTTGTTTAGGTTTTGTTCAAATAACTGTGTAAGTGTAACTGTTTACGTTGAAGTGCATGGTAGTTTGATAGTTAAAAAATGGTTTGATAGGTCATGGTAGTTAAAAAACAAAACACAAAACAAAAATGTAACGAATTTGAGACATTTAAAAAATAAAAGCTGAAAAATATAAGAATTCGAACTTACTAAATCTGTTTCTGGATCGTTAGCATTACCAATTGTTGTCAGCGTCATAGCAGACCAATAAAGACAAATTATATATTTTCTAAAGAGAAGTTAAGTAATGAATTAGTAAATTTATTTACGAAGAAAAATAGTTTAAATATAGAGAAAGTAACAATTATTTAAAATTTGTAAGAATCTTTATTAAAATTAGCGCTTATTCATTTCCTGCGCAAAAAAAGATAATCCGCGAATATTTATTAATTCTTACTTTAGAAATACAGGGAAATTTAAAATTCAAATGATTTCCCTGGAATTATAACTATTTTAAGCCTATCAGTCAAACTCATAATATTATATTATTAATTTTAATGTTCTACTATTTTATAATTTTTTCTAATGTATATTTAATAAATCTTTACTATTAATTTTACTTAATTTAGGTGAAATTCTTATCTTTAATGTAGCATTTCATAAAAAACTTACAAAATAAATAGCAACAGTCGGTTCTGGTTCAAGTAATTCTGGAGGTTAAGGCTTCTCAATAAGATCAACAATGGCATGATGTCAACATTGCGCACCGGCCGTCTTTATTGAAAAGGCAAAGTGGGTGGGCATAAAACCATCAGCGGGCATAGAAACCCAGTCTAATACAATAATTGCTCAGTATCTTAACTTCTGCCTTATTACGCTGTTAAACAATACGTTTGACATTATATTATAAATTTAAAAATTAAAAAAAAACAACTTTCTTTAAAATTCTTTCCTTTTTTATTACTTCATATTTATATTGCCTGATTCATGTGAAAGAAATTCAATGCAATTTGAAATTTGGATGACTCAAATGCTTTAATGGATTCCTCAGAAATGAAAAAGATCTGAATATGAATTGCAAAAAATTAAAATTTTGCAACTAAAAACATTAATATATAGATAAAAGCATATCATAATAATCACATTCAGTTCCAAATAAGTATAAAATTAAATCACAAATATAGAGTAGAAAATTATATGGAATCAAGAACTATTATCTGTGAAAGCTCGTTTTTTAATTTTTGATTATTTGGATATGGGAAAAGTAAATCGATGTAACATATATGTTTAGAACTTAGCTAGTTATTTTTTTCTAGAATTATTAATCAGTTCAATTGCGAGTTAAATTTCTGAAAAAAACTAAATTGACATTGATGTTTTAAGATATACTAATTTAGAATTGAATTTTTAATAGCCTTTGATACTTTTAGTAAAAATTATAAACAGCGATAAAAGCAAAAATTCGAATATGATTTTACCTAGAAAATCTTTGCTGTTCCGTGTCATTTGTATAGACCCAATCATTGCTTCCTAAACCTTCATACTGAAAAAAAGAAATATTAACTTTTTAAAAAAAATTTAACTAAACAAAAAATTTAACTTAATTGTTGCTTTGTAAACATATGTACTTAGTTCTTCGATAAAATTTACGGAACAATTTAAAAAAGAAACATAAAAAATGTTTAAATGCTTGAACCCATGAAGTTTAGAATATTGTTAAGTTAATTTTTTTCAAAAGTAAATACATTCAACAAATGTTTGCTTTTACATTATACTTTAGAACTTTTTTTTAATGCTTAAAAAATGCTTATGTTCATCATGATACTAATGTAAATGTTGCAATTAGAATGTCAGTTTTTTTAATGATAAATTTATAAAAATATCAATTCCCAGTTAAGAAGTATCTATAGCTCGAACTGTATATAATTATAACATTATTACAACATTAAGGTACTGGGAAAAAACTATTACAACATTAAGGTGTGGGGAAAAAGCAAGATTTGTGGAAACTATGGTAACGGAGAGGAATAAGAAGGGGAAATCCCGTCTCCTTGAAATGCTTATTCTATTTGCAAAAACTATAGTCTATTTGCAAAATGTAGTTTTCAGAATGTTTATTTTGTTAGTTTCTTCGATTTAGTTTTCTGTCTGTGAGTCGTGGCGGAAAGTGGACGAGAATTCGGAATTTCTTTTGGGGGTGTGAGCAATATGCCAAAAACTAGTGGACTGGGATGGATTGAAACTTTAATTGGTTGCAGAAGCAGAGCTTTAGTCGAGATTTGAACACTCAAGCTATTTGGAAAGTTTTATTTTATTTTATAACCGTCGTTGAACAGCCGACCCAATTTCATGGATTTACGACTACTTACGTTCAACTCCGTAGCCTTGTAATTTTGAACCAATCCAGAAGACAAGGAAACTCCTGGATCAGTACCCCCAGAGGTATTGATTTGTTGTGGGAACATGGAGGACTTTGAGACTCGACAGATTTAACGTGCATCAGTCACCATTTACTACACGGGGAGTCTTCGGCCGGCGAGGATCGAACCCACGACCTCTTGGATATCGGCCCAGCGCCCTACCGACCAGGCTATCCCGGCCCTATTTGGAAAGTTGTCGAATTTCGATTGGCAATAAATTCTTTTTGATGTACGATAATTTCTTTTGGTGATGATAAATTCCTTTTGGTTGACAGTATACGCCCGGCTTGTAGAGGTCAAGAAGCGATTGAAACTTGTATAGTCACACAACCCAAAGTTTCAATAATCAAGCCGCCAAACTGACGTTAAATTACCTTTTTTAAAAAAGAACCTAATATCATAATATTTACTAATTTTAGAGGTCAGAAAGCGACTGAAACTTGTATTGTCATTCAGCAAAAAGCTCTTATAAAATTTAATGTACGAATCGGCTAAAAAGTGTTTAAGAAATTTGATTGATACTAAAATCTTCTTGGCATTATCTCCTTGCAATAAATTCTATTCGTATGTAGCTGTGACAAAACGGTTAAAAATGGTATTTTTGAAGCACAGAGCTGCATTGGAGATTTGTGAACTCTAATTAGCTAAAAGGTGTTCGGAAGTTTGACAGATGGGCCGATCGGCTTGTGTTGGAATCAGGGAGCTGGCCTTTCATCAGAGAGGTTCTGAGTTCGAATCCCGGGAAAGGTATGGATGTTCTTTCATTCTCTGTACTCAGCAAACTTGCCCTTTAAATGTCTGTATGACGTAAGGTTATTCCCCAGACGGGTATTGAAAAAAAAGTTTGATGGATGATAAACTTTGCAAGAGCCGGAATACGATTGAAACTCCTATAGTCATTTTAAATAAAGATTTAAGTTCTCCAGCTTAGAAACATGTAAAATTTGGATAGCTCGTTTATTACAATAATAACGTACTAGCGTGGGGGAAAAAAACGAGATTTATGAATACCATGGTAACGGAGGGGGGAAATCGCGTAATGCATCGCTACGCCTAACCTATTTATTTACTTGAAAAAACGTAGTCTTTAAAATATTTATTTTGTGAGCTTCCTCACTTAAGTTTTGTGTCTGTTAGTTTGTTATTTTTAGTTTTATGTCTGTTAGTTATGACTGAAAGTGGTCGAGAAATTTGATTATAAATTTCTTTTTGGAGATATCATCATGAAATCGTGTGTATCAAAGGTGTAAAATCGTGTGCATTAACCCATTGTAAAAAAAAAAAAACATTAAAATATGGCTAATAATTTATAAAATGTTATAAATTATGCAGCTTAATGCATGATGATAAATGGCTTTTGTGACAAATGTCTCTAGGAAATTCATTCGTGGTCGTAGCATACCAAACGTAAATACAGTGAATATTATTGAACAAAAACGTGACGGTGAGGAATATGAAAAATAATGAATAATCTGTGGAAATAAATACATCTGATAAGAGATAATAAAGGCACGCAATCCAATGAATGATGATGGCTAAATTGAGAAACAGTCTCAGGACCCGTATCAGATGTGGATTACTTGTGAAACTGAAATAAAAAGTAAACATAGAGATTAAAACAAATGTCAATTAATCCTAAAAATTAAAAAAATTTATTTGAATTTCATCTCTTACCTTTCAGCGAGATCGTAGAACTTGTATAAGATATGAAATTTCAGGAGCTTTGTCAGACGTGCTATTTTAATAAAAAAATATTCAGTTTGAAAAAATGCATAAATATGACACTGTTCTGAATGAAAATAATAAAACTGATGAGCTTATTAATTAGTGTATGGTCAAAACGATTAGTTCTAAAATATCAATTTAGTTATAATATTTAAGACTATGGAGTTAACTAACGGAGTTATGAAAATAAAATTAAAAGTTTTGAATGGAAGTAGGATTAATGTTTGGAATTATGTTTATTAAAAATTTTATTATTACCATTATTTGCACATCATAGCTTAAAAGCAATGTACAGTGAGCAAAAATAAAAGCGGATCAATCTGAATAACTTTTGATCTAATGATCAGATCTTCCCTTTCTAGCACTCAAGTTAGAGGGAGTGACCTCAAATATGCTAATTAATTCCTCCAAGACGATATTTTTAAGTTACGAAATCGGACACAAAAACGTACTTTCTCTGAATAAACATACTTTTTTTTGACGATTTAGGATTTTTGAACCTCAAAATATAGCTGCAATGTAGGAAATATATTATTAATAGTTTGGTCAGATGAGCGACCCAAAGTTTGGACCCTTAATGTCAATTTTAGTTTTTTCATATTTTGCCATATCTATAGAACTTTTTAAGAAAATTAAAAACTTTTCACAGTCAATTATAAAATGTGTTTCTCCGAAGATAATCGTATGCAAAAAATAGCTTTTAGTAAATATTTCTTAATGTATCTGATAATAATCGGAAAATATTGCATTGTGAGGTATAAAATTTTTTTACAACATTTAAAAGAATGCAATTTAACATGGCAAAATATAAAATTTGAGTGAAATCGGCCGAATAGTTCCTGTGAAATAGAATTTTTAATGAAAAACGTTTCTTGATGCTTGCTTGTATACTCGTTAATGGTAAATATTGATAACATTTTTTCATGCTCACGATTGGGCTATAAATTATAATATATCGTTCTCCAAACTACATCTGCAATTGGATCCGAAGGTTTGAGTAAGAATTGGCTATATTGGCATGCATTACTGCGTCGAGCATTTTTTTAAATTTTTTATAGTGCGCTAAATTTGTTTTCAGTCCCGTTCATACCATATCAATTCCTACCCTTAGATTAATTCTTTCGCTTCTTCTTCTTCTGATATCTTAGATTCTGAAGTTTTTTCTTAGTTCTGAAAATTTGTAAAATTTGTTTTTTTTTTCTCTTATTTTCAAAATTCTTTCAGTCTTTTCTCTTTTTTATAGGTTTTTTTTCTGACTGTGATACATCTATTGTAAAGACGTTTATTAACTACTTTCACCTAATATGGTTAAACAACCAGAATTCGATCACAACAGCTTGGCCCACCTATTAAACCAACCAAGTTTTGTGCAACGGGGTACATATTATAACCGAGAGATGTAATCTGTCAATCTGGCATTACCGATAGAACAATGTTTGAGTCACAGCGTTGACACTATTTCTCTCCATTCTCAGCACTCGATGAGTTTCAAGTGTGCTGCGCTCTCCAATTTGGGACCCTGGACTATTAGAATACGATATTTCCATACATGCATAGATGACAGCACCACAGAGCTGCTTAACATTATATAGTCTAGTATTTCTCAACTGTTACAATATGTTAAACAACCAGATAAACTAATTAAGTCCCATTATACGGTTCATTTGTTAAAACACCACAACTATTCAACCACAACCTAACTCCAGTACTCATAACGTGACGAAAATCCTAGCTCCAATGTGTAATTAAATTTAATTTTTATATATTTTTTTAACTGTACTAGTAATAAACGGTTTCAAACAAATATAGGTAATAAATGTTCTTAACCATAAACTTTACGGATAATTGAATGAACAGATTTATGCTGGTCACTTTACCGGAATTTTATAATGAAAATTCTAACTATGTACGTAAAATTTAAAAAAACGATTGATTTCATTATAATTTGTTAACTGGAGCACTGTTCAACTTAACATCTTAATTATAACATTATGATTCACCATTAAATCCTTTTTTTGAAAATGTACTACTAACAGTTACATACTGTATTAGTGGAATAAGATATAAGAGTTGATTAAAAAAAAGGAACATTTTCCATTTATTTTAATGCTACTAGGAAATAATGCTGTAATGGAAATAAAAAAGACTTTCATGAAGTGTAAAATAAAAGCAAATAAATTTGATGCAAAGCTTTAAAACTTGAATACTTGGAGAAAGCCATTGAAAAAAATTGAATAAAATAAATCTTACCTGCACCTGCTGTACACAAAAAAAACTTTAACCAGCTGAAACTGCCTGTAAAACAAAGTAATTTTTTATAGCAACTAAATAAATAATATATATATATTCCAATAATGTTTTTATCTATATTATTCTGGATTTACGAAATATGACCTCATAAACGAAGTAAATATAAGGAATTGTATAATGCAACGCAAAATATAAAAAAAAAGTAAAACGAAATCTGAAGATTCGGCGGCATATTTGTTCCATATATTGACGTCATTTCATTGTTTCTTTTTTTACTATTTTTGTAGTCGGGAAGGCAAAGGATATTCATTTTATTACCGTGCATAGAACTCATTTACATTTTTCCTTGAAGGATGCTAATTCTGTTTTATTTAATGGTGGCAGTATTTAAACAAACTACACAAAATTGTACTAAATAACAAGTAATTATTTACACCTATAATTAGAAGAAATACGCGTAAACCGATTGCCTATTTGTTTTATTATATACTTTAGCAATATAATTTATAATTTAGATAAATTTATTTTCCTTTGGCTTCATTAAAACAAAAACTTCAATTATTTTTAAGTTTTTCTAATTTGTTCTTACCTCAAAATGTTAATAGTTTATTTTTGAACGAGTTTAACATATTATAAATATTTTGTCTTTATACAAACTAATAAGGTAATATTTTTGCCCCAACATTCTAATTTCATACAAACTCTAATAAATCTCCATAAAAGTCGGTGGCCATCGCTTTTCTTTGAGAAAAAAGTACATTACCCGTAATAGTAACTTACTTTAGCAAAATTAATTGAGTTGATTGTTAATTTATAAAATTATTATTCAAAGATTAACATAATTTGGAGTCGTATACTTTTTACTATGGTGGTTACAGCATCAGGCTAGGGGGTCAAAAGTCTAGAGTTCATATATAGTGGGTGCCTAATGTTTGTTTCTTACACTTCGTATTACATTATTGACACCGGTGAGAGAACACGAAACTTTCTCCCTCCTCAACAAATGTCAACATTACATTTTTTCTCAAGCTACATCAAGTTCCAAACTGAAGATAACTTTTACGGGCAGAACGGAAATTTACTGTCAGTTTCATATGTTTTCGAGGAAAAATGTTACGGGCAAATCTGTATTTTTATGGTCATTATAGCAGCACATGCATAAATTTATTTTTACGCTCAGTGACTGGAACACGTTTTACTGGTCACTAATTGCAATCTAGTGAATGAGTTTCATAGAGGATATAATACTTATATCTTCATAAATGTACATGTGGTTACTTGTTACTTGGATTTAAATCAAATGTTTTCGGAAATGAATGTTTGCTGAGGGAAAACAAAAAATTATTTAAAGAAAAAAAGAAAAAAAAGGGATGTACCTGGCAAGTAAGCAATGAGAGTTTGACTAGGCAACACAGATATGACATCTTCAATAAAATGAGGTTGACTGATGAAATGTTGACGAATCTTCAGATGATCGAAAACCTGAAATAAGGAGAGTGATTCAAGAAACCATAAAAATGTTACTCGCATTTGATATTGACGAAGTAAGAAATGCCATCATTGTAAATGCGTTTTTAGACAAGGTATGGAAAGGAAAATTACTTTATTATTACATTTGCAATTATAAATAATTTTTAAGCAAAACATAATAAAATATGGTTTGATGGATGAAAACCCCGGCAGAAAGAGACAGCGCATTCATTTTTCATCGTTTTCTCAAAAAAAATATTGAGTTAAATGTGTGAAACTAGTTAAATGTGTGAAATAATTATATTTCTTACTATTTGTTTGCCATTTGGCAATGTATAATGTGGCTGGGAAATGTCAGTAATACTCATATATGGCAGTACTTTTACTTTCGTTACTTGTACCGCCGGTACAAGTAAAAAGTACGTACTTTTACTTGTACTTCGTTACTTTTTAAATTTAGTACTTTTACTTGTACTTTCGTTACTTTTTTAGGGAAAAAGTACAAGTATTTGTAACGGAAATATCGAATGAAATCGTTACTTTTTTCTAAAACTCGGTAAGCTTTCTAAAAAAACAAAAAATTAAATTTAAAAAAAATGCTTATGTTTTTTTAATTTATAAAATTAATGTGCAATATATATGCATTCACAGCTAACTTCGTGTTTAAATACCTTCTGTTTCAACTTATACTGCACATTCAATTATTTTTTACTAGCTCAAAGATCACAAAGCTATCTGAAACCCCGTGTTTGCTTTGTTTATGTTTGTGTTTTTAAAACGCGTTTCTAAAGAGTAAAACAATTTTAAATCAATGGTAATTTAAATAAATAAAAATAATAAACTAAAAATTAAAATCAATAGATAAAATTTCTTTTTCGTGCAAATCCATAAAAAGTTTGATATTAAAATTATATTTGATTTTAAAATTATATTATACGATTATATTATAAAATTATATTATAATATTCTTCCGAATTTAAAAATAAATTAATGTCCATAACTTTCAAAATTAAAAATAATTAAATAAATAACAACAATTTTGCAAAAACATTAAAGAACATAAGAATATTATTCAATAAAATTTTAGGTTACTTTGAATTTTCGATTTCCTAGAAATGTACTTTTAAATCGTTACTTTTTTTGTTTAGTACTTGTACTTTTACTTGCACTTTTACTCGTTACTTTTTAAAATAAGAACTTCTTACTTTTTACTCGTTACTTTTTTTAAAAATACTTGTACTTTTACTCGTTACTTTTTAAAAGTAACGTTGCCATATATGGTAATACTCAATCATTTCATAATTTTAATATCGATTTTCAGCATTGTAGACAACACCTAAATATTGAGTACAATGACGGATTTCTCATTTTGCATACACATAAAAGTGTTAATAAATTTTTTTAAATGTTTTGTACAAAAAGACTTTCACACTAAAACTTTTTTTGTAAATAATAAAATGTCTATAGTAAGCAAAGAATTAATGATCAAGACAACAATAAATAAATTAAAATTATTTCGTAGAAACATTTCATTCATTGGGAATATTTTAATATTTAAGACAAAAAATGCTAAAAGCTCTGTAATTTAATTTACACTTAGAGTAATTTTATTGGAAATCATTTCAAAGATTCCAAAAATCATTATCTTTGTACTTAGAAAATTCAATTAATTAATTAATACATGTCGGCATATTGTCTATGCAATTTTAGGCAAGGTATCGAATATGAAAATTCTAGCTTTTTTATTTCAAAAAATTTAATTGTACCTACTGATTTATTTCATTTATTAATATATGCTTACATTTTTAATGCAGACAGCACAACTTTTTGTGATAATAATTTAAATGTTTAAGTTTTATGAAAAATGTTACGAAAACATCATGCGATCATTATTTCTAAAAGTAACAAAAGTATAACTTTGAAAATAATTTCAATATAATTAGCTTTACCAACAGCACAAGTATAATTAGAGGTTTCAAATTTGAGATAGAAATGGTTGCAAAAAAGTTTTGCGTCAATCATTTTTAATTAAGTTGCTTTTATATCATTATTTTAGGGTCACACTGAATTTGGTTATATTTTTAAATAGTTAATTATTATAGGAATATCTTGATTAATATCGAATACCGTAATAGCTTAAAAAACCTAATATTTGAATCATACATATCAGCCCTACATCATACATACCTAATAATAGAACCAACATAAAAATCTTCATCGAAGTTATTGTTGGACTTAAAACTATGCTTTAATTATTAAAATTAAATCTCAAATTAAAATTAAAATGGCATTCAGCATTTTATGACTTTGAAAACTTGCCATTCTGCAAGCATGTTTAAAAATTCATTATGCACCATTTTCTGCTCTAAATTTATTATTAATATTTCGGAGTAATTTTGAGAAATAATTTAGTTAATTGGTCCAACACACTCTTTCTTATTTTTTATTTTATTTTATTTATTTATTTTTCTCAAGGAAGAGTATTATTCTTTATTTATGTTTGTGTTTATGAAATAGTCATGATAATGATATTTTTCGAATTCTGAAAATCAATATGGCATATACAGCAACAATAATTAAAACAAATAATTTTGGTTAAGAGGCTCGTCCCCTCCCATCCGAAGTTAACTGCCAAAAGGGTAGAGACGGGAAGGAACAGAATGTGCTTTAAATCCTCTGAATATGCTTTAAATCCTCTGGATATAAATCCTCTGAATATGCTTTAAATCCTAAACTGATGATGGATACTTATTCCATTTGACGCTATCTCTCGATGCATGTAAAATGCAAGGCAGTCACCCAATCACAATTTGAGATGTTAAAGTAGGCCGTATTTCTGTTCCTGTATTAAGTTTTTGAGACAAAATTACGCCAGTAAAATTCTGAAATCAACAGTTTTTGATGGGTAGTTAAATAGTACATAATTGCCAATTTTTAGATTTTTGATAAGTGTCTTTGTTTTTATGCAACTAAAGCTAAAATTTTTTTTGAAAGTCATCCAAATCATTTTTCATCAGTTAATAAAATTAAATGTTAAGAACTGAAAAGCGTGTAGTGTTAAATTAATTACTCAAAAACCACAAAACGCGTCATTTTATTGCGTTAAAGGTTTGAGGAAAAACTCATAAAAGCTCTAAAATTATAATTTTTTTTTCCTAATCTAATAAAACGACAGCATTATTTTTGAAAGATATTGTGCTGTCTAATAATACCATGCAACCGAAAGTTCAACAAAAATATCAAGAAAACACAAGTTAAAAATTTAATCTAAAATCCAAGATGGCGAGGGTAGAGATTTCTTGAGTGTTATAAATTTGTTTTCATTTTGTTCCATTTCAATCTAGAAAGTCAGCAGTTAGTCGCATAAAAAATTTGCTGATTATAACATGCGTCACTAAAGCCATATTTAATTCCTTTCATGGGTAAGTAAGAATTATTTATTACGAAGCTAGATAATGATTGATAAATTCATTTTGTGTCTGGAAATAGTAGTAATTAACAATTTAGAAAGATTGCTAAACATTAATAAAACGCACTTGCAACATTGAGGACATACAAAACAAATTGTGAAGTATTCTCTAGATGTAACTATATTACTCAAAATGGTGATATTAAAACACAATCAATCATTTTATTTCCATAATTCGTGAATTACACTGTTAATCATATATATTTTTTGAATTAATTTTTATTGTTGTTTTGGAAGAATTAGAACAAAAAAAGTGCGAAAGAACAATTGATTGCAAATTTATAAAAAAAAATGAATAAAAATGTTTTCATGGCGTTTTTGCCCCCTTCAGAATAAATAAACAAGAAAAAAATGCTTTTTTTTCACTCCAAACGTTATTCAATTAATAAAGTGCTTAAAATTTCAATTTGCATTCATTTAACAAAAAATTTTACTTTCTCGGTTTCTCTAAATTATATGTTGCTATTTAATTTAAAGAGAGCATTATAAAATTGTAATGATATTTTTTGAGGATTGAATGAAAAGAAAATTGTTCTTCGCATTTAATATCAGTAAGCTTATTAATTTCAATCACGCACATTTACATACAAAGTCATTAAATTGAAAAAACAAATAATTTTTTTGTCATGTTTACTACACATAGGTTAGTTAAAGGGTAAGTAAAACGATGAAATATGTAAATTGTAATGCATATAAGTTATAGTTTTTTTTAAAAAATTGTATAACAGCAATTTTTATAATAAATATTTGCTATTGGTTTTATTTTTAAAAATTAAAAAATTTAAACATTTTAAGAAGTTGATCTTGTGTTGCCTTTTTCACATTGCTGCATATTTTATGTATGTCATTCACGTTCTAACTGCTTATCATTCAAATCATTAAATTTATCGCCGAACGTACCAAAAATGTTCACTATATAAAAATAAATCAATCTAGGTAGATTAGCTAAGTCACTATACTACATTTGAAATTATACTAAGAATTCAGATAAAAAATAAAATAAAAAACCTTTTTTCAATAAAAAATACAAAATAAGTCAGCTATGATATGTTAGAGTAAACTATCCTGCTTATTTTTAGAGCATAATAATTCTTCTTTAAAATAAACAAAAAACATTATGCAACTTAAAATATAATTTACCTATTGTTTAAATAAAGTAATGAGCTGTTGTTGAAAAATATTACGAATACCGAAACGTAAACATTTAATCCGTATAATTTTTATGTACTTGCCATAGTCTTTAAATTTATAAAATATCCGTTCTGATATAAATATCGTACATAAAATAAATATAATGCATTTAGATACCTATTATTGTGTTAGGGCATAAAAAGATTATTTTAGTTTGGTATGTTACGCATAGGCGTTTGAGGTTCGAATTATGACTGTGGTTGGCCTCACAGTTCCTAATCCTTTGTTGATCTCAATGATGACATCGAATAGTGGTTAATGATGATTCTTGGTTTCAATTGTCACGGATTAACCATGCGTAATTTTGGATAATTTTCACTTTTGTTCAACTTAAATGAAAGATAGTTTTACTTAAAAAGTTATTAAATAAAGCTAAGTTTCGGTATATAACTTAAAAGTAATCTTGTTTTCCGAATTGTTGCCAAAGTTTTAAGATTAGAAATTAAATGTTTGGCATGTAACAAACGCCTCAAAATGACCGACGCTTTGAAAAATTAATTTGTAAAAAAGGGGAAAAAATATAAGACTCATTGATTTTTTATTTAAAAAAAAAAATGACGTAGTTATTTATTCAAAATTATTTGAAAAATTAATCAAAAGATGGCGCTGCTTTTTGAGAAATAACTATAAACACCAGTTCTGCATACCTCACCATTCTAACAGTAAATATCTGAACGAGAGTGTTTTATCTTTACTTTTTTCTCTTTTCCTTCATTCTGCGCCTCATTGCTGTTGTTGTACAAAATGGTAGTTTTTAAAATATTGATTTATAACTTTTTCTAGTAGCAGCGTTATCTGTTGTCGAACTTAATACTTAATTTTAAAATTTGGAGGGAATACCTGGGTTTAAGGCTGCAAGATGTATACTTTTATTTTTTTCTATTTCTTTTTAATTGATATTTCACATCGTTGAGCATCGTGTAATAAAATAACGAATAATGAAATAAAAAAATATAAGTCAATAGGGATATGCGATCTATATAAAAACGCTTTAACTCATTGCAGAACAAAACATCTAGATTCAAACCGAAACCAACCAGTATATCTTCCGAGACATAACCATAAAATGTACCTTTTCAAAATAATTGTTATGGTCTTACCTCTTTGTGATTAAGCACATAAAAAATGCATCAACCATTTATATGTATCAAATGAGAATTATTTGAATTGCAGCTGAATTAACTTTTAATGCGCCATTAATGCCAGGATATTTTCCAAGCAAAATCTTTCCTCTCTTTCGAATTCCAAATCGAATAAGCAAGAAAAACTTCCAAGTTGAGCGTGTGTCATAAAAATTTCGTGTATGCATTTTCATGAGGGTCTATGAATATGATTTACGTTCCTTCAAGAAAGCATTCATCGCTACTTAAGTTTATGTCAGACGAAACATAAAATATTGAGTTTTATTTGTTTTGTCACAATGTGAGTGCATCAGATAAGTTTCTTTCTGGGCCTTGAAATCTTGCTTAATAGCATGATTTCGATTGGAGATCCCATCAGGGAGGACGCAACGATATTGACAGCTGCTCGTAAACAAACGACAATAGGGTAATCGTGGTAATTTAGGACTTGTTTGGGATGAAATTTGTTTACTTGCGCTTCTTTATGCAAACCAGATCGAGTTCTCATAAATATACTATTAACATACTCAAACAAATTTCATTAGGAAGACGCCATACCAGTGCTTTCCGCCGCAAATTTTCTTTCGCCTTCGTAACTAATTTAAAAAATAGAAAAAATGAGTCCAGAGGTTTAAAAAATAGAAAAAATGAGTTCAGAGAATTAAAAAATAGAAAAAGTGAGTTCAGAGAATTAAAAAATTGAGAAAGTGAGTTCAAAGAATTAAAAAAAGGAAAAAGTGAGTTCAGAAAATTAAAAAATAGGGAAATTGAGTTCAGAGATTTAAAAAATAGAAAAGTGAGTTCAGAGAAACCTAAAGAAAACCATGACGTTTCATATACCAAAAAGAAACTTTGAAAACATCAAAATGAAAATAATTTATAAGAATATAATTTATGATTACTCAATGGAGAGGTTCTTTTCCAATAATTTGATTGCATTTAGATATTTTGAATTTTTTTCAGGAATTGGAACTTTATGGTTTACTATAGGTTCTTCTGAATTCATTTTTTTCTTTCTTTGAAATTTTCAATAATAGAGATAATTTGAAAACGAAATAATTTGAGATAATTTGAGACGAAAAGTGTTTCCTCTGGTATGGTGTCCTACATAAAGCTAAAAAAAGTGGTAATGAGGGTTAAAATTCGTAATGAGTATTTCGGTTACAGCTTCTTATTTATTTTTACACCAAGCTTAAAAAACACGCAATTGCTGAAATATTGTACTGATATACGACTTGGTTACTGATGATACGACTACTGATACGACTTGGGGTAGTCATCATTCAACTTATAAGTCCATTTAAATTCAGCTTAGCATAAAAAACTGAAGATAACACTCAAAACAGGATAACCCTTACACTTAATTTATTTCGTCATTTAAATTTCCTTTGATTGATTTCTGACAGGTCTAATTTCAGCGCATTTGCAATGGGTGTCTTAAATGTGTTGATAATTGTCAACTATATTTAGCAATAATCGACACATGTAATTTGTTTACTCTTAAAACGATCTTTTTAACATACTAAACCATGATGAGGGCAAACTCAACAGACAAATATAAAAAATTAGGCTGATACAATGTACTTAAAAAATAATTTAATTAAGTATAAAAAGGTACTTACAGGAATTCCATCTTCTAAATAGGCGGTGTGCAGTTGTACAAATATATCAAACAAATAAATAAAATCACATAATATGTCAAAATAAAACATACAGCTTGGCCCATTCTAGAAAAAAAATTCCATGATATTGACGAAATAAATATTTTATGTATCATCATGAATTAAACTTTATTGATACGAAGGAATTCGTAAGAAAACATACAAATTTCATTAGTGATGAGATTTTAACAAGATCAATTTTACATCAACAAAAATAGTACAAAAATCAAAATGCACTTTTATTCTAAAACAATAACTATAATCAAATTAGTTTCGATTTTAAATAATTATGTTTAATAGACGTATTTTCGAACTATGCATATATTTTCCTGATTCATTTACCAACTTTTAAAAATATTTACTCATACAAACAAGCTAAATTTCAAAATCTCTACTAGAATTAAATTTCGACAAAAAAAGCATTTTTTTAATAAGCTAGTTATTTAAAACTTCTAATATGGAAAATAAAAGACTGTTTTATTTTGTATAAAATATTTTTTTCCCTCATTTAAAGTATGAAATACTTATTTATGAGTTTTATAATATATTGATTTACAGCACAAAATATAACTACACAGCACCATCTGGCATTTAATTGTCTACATTGTTTGAAATAATGAAAGGATTCTTTGAAGAAATTAGCGTTAAAACACACATTCACTAAAAAAAGAAAAAAAAGATTTAAATTTAATGCAAATATACTTTCGTAAAGGCGCTTATGAAATAATAAAAAGACATTAATCTACTCTTGCGGTGCCTGTTAATGAAATCGCACCTGATGAAAAAAGCAGCAAACATACAGAGCAGCAAAAATTCAGGATATAGCATAAATGTCTAACCCACAGAACTCGTGCCACGGTATGGCACGGTAAGATTTTAACAATTCCATACGAAGTGGCACAATGAGAACTTTGAGCAAATGAGAAGTTTTGAATTACTAATGTCGTCGACAAGGACGTTAGTAAAAAATCCACAAATTCAAAAACCATGTTATTTAAGTACTGATTGTTTAAATAACAGTTGAATTTAATTTTTCAGATCATCGATTTTTTTATACATAACCGAACTGAATAAACCTAAAAAAATATTTATTCACAATAAAAAGCTCTTAATTTTGTTTAGTTTATTACATTACTTTTCAAGCCACTACTAATATAACTTACATGGAATGTGCTGCCTGAGAAAAAGTATTTCGGCATATAAAAACCCTTTTATTTTCCCTTTCATATATGAGACACGATGATTCAGCTGTTAAAGTCACTGAGCTATTGCTTCAAAGCACTAGGGAGCCCTCCTTGGTGGTAGTGTGAAACCCATTAAGCTCTATATTTATGGATACTATCTTTCCTTGCAAGTAAAGGCGTCTTGTGCGCAATCTTTTTCATATTGATACTATCGTGTTGGACACTAAATTATGGATTCTTAACCTTCATGACCTTTTACCCCAACACAAAATGCTTCAAGACTGCTCTTATGTACGCAAAAAAGTTCCCAAAAAATGCTAGTAACATACATATATTTTTTTCAGATAGGGGTATTATTCTCAAAACAGTTTTCCATAATGCAAAGAATACACCTCTAACTTTTAAGCTGAATAATATGTGTCTGTTTAATATGTTTTTTATATCTGTTTAATATGTTTTTTATAAGTGAAAAGTCATTCTTTCCTTTTTATCACCTAGATTTGGATTGAAAGTAAATTTAATGTAGCAATACATGTTATATGAGAATATATATTTTTGTTCTGGGATAATTTTCATTGTCATGGCTAGTTAAATTTTAAATGTTGGGGTTCTAACATCTAATTTCAAAATGACCAAAGACAATATATTTGTAACTATAAATACTTGTATGCGCAGTTGTAATATATCTTGCACAAAATGTAACAGCAGCCATTTAATATCTTTGTGGTCATAGCTTTAAACAGAGTTTTATTAAATAAAAAAGAATTAAATAAACATTTCAGCTTAAATAAAAGCTATAATCTTTGATTTTTAATTAAAAAAATATTAACTGTCACTGAATTTTTAATTTACAAGCTTGTAGATTAAAATCAAATATAATATTAAATAATTTATTTTTTTAAAATTTATAACCTGATCTGAACTTGAGTGATTCCAAATAATAGTTATTCCGGATGTTTGACTTTTTCGTTTCACACTGTAAAGAGATTGTGAAAGAATATAGGAACTCTTAAATAAATATTTATTAATTTCATTTCTATCGAAGGATTCTTTATCTTGACCACTTAAAAAATATTTTTTGTCTTTAAATGGTAACTTTATAATCTTCAAATATTAAATTCAAATATTAAATTCAAATATTAAATTATGTAATCTTCAAATAGTAACTTTAAAAACAATAATAAGTTATTTCTAAGCCATTAATGCATAAATCTGATGAGAAAAATTTATACTTTGTACTTAATATTGTTAATACTTTATAAATATAATAATTACTGTTTACTTAAAGTATTAAAATCCCATAAGTTTTATAATTTGCTACCTTTACCCTTTGACTCAGAATTTTTATAAGGCATATTTCTCATACTTTTTTTCATTATTTTGCATTAATTTAGGCTAAAATAAGTAAAAAATATAATTAGCATTTTAATAATTCATGGTTATGAAATGCAGCTTTGCTATCCTGGTGTCCTTTTTGAGATAAAACTAAAGTCTTCCAAACTAAGCTCACTTTCAAACAATAGTTTTTCAGATTTGCACTTCTTAAGATTTAAGTTATTCATCACAGAAGTTTCTTTACTTTACGAAAAAATTTATTGATATTTTTTTTTGAATATGAATGAAAAATATTCAAACTACTTCTTTTAAATATCTTTTTAGTACAAATATAATAGATTCTTCTGGTGATTATTAAACCGTTTTTTATAATTAAAAAATACCAAAATATATTTTTGGAGAGCGTCAGAAAAAATATAGAAGGGGGATACCGGTGACCCATCTGCGTCAAAGGGATAACAAAAAAACCTACATTTAAATATTTCAATTAAATTAGCATGTTTTTCTGAGAAGAAGGTGATCTTCTGAAAACTAGACTGTTGAACATAATTTCCATATTCTATTGTGAGTTTTTATCATATAAGAAACAAAGAGTTTTATTACACTCTTACTTCGAAAACAAGATATTATGAAAATAAATGATGTCATTCCAGATAGGATTAATCAATTAACTATAAATCTGTTTTGATTCGAAACAAACTCAAGCTCTCTGACAAAAATAGATTTTATGTTCCAATGAATAATATCAAATGTTTCCGTGTGGGACACGTTTTTGAATCAGAAGAAGAAAAAAATAATCCAATGTCATAAAAACGTGGAATAGGTTTGCTGTCATAAATCTGTAGAACAATGTAGAAGACATTTTTTAAGGATTACATACAATGAAATTTTGAAGAAGAATAAATTTAAAAAGATGATACAAGTAATTTATTTCATAAGGTACGCATCAATTTGGAAATAAGTACATAAATCTCAATCGTGCATCATGCCTGTTACTATTTCCTGACTTTTCTTTGCTATTTATTGATTTTTCATATAAAATTTAGTTTAGGAAAGAATGGTATATTACAAGTAGAGAATGAAAAATTTAAATTTAAAATTATTCATTGTGAAATTGAATTGATACAGTGAACTTACAATTGTATCTTATTTCAAAAGCAAAATACACGCATATTATATATCTGGAGATATTATAAAATAACTTTGTTGCAAATGTGAGAATACTGTTCGAAAGAAAAGGTTGAAATTTAATTTAAAGATATTATAAGGTATTATAAATAATATTACTTGATTAAAACTTTATTCGTTTCAACAAAATACGCAATAGAAATAACTGTTGACATGTTCTAAGCGCTCAAAAATTGGCGCCCATTTTCAAGACTTACTGGACGTGAATGACTTACTAGACGTGAAACAAAAGTGATTTGAAATGTAAAACAAAAAGTTGCTCACTATAAATATCGAAAAGGTAGTATATTTACGAGACCCAGGCCATTTATGGCCCATACTCAAATTTAGCTGTTGTCTCGCCGCCACAAAGCATCCAGCGCAGCACGAAAGGCAGAGAAGAGTACTCAATTGGCTCAAGGCCCCGAGTCAAGCAAGATTAAGAGCACCACAAGTCTTTGTCGATGAGCAGAGGAGGAGAAAAAGTTTTGAGAGTTCGAGCCCACAGGGCGGCGGGGTCAAAACAGCTGCAGACGGGGTATATAAATATGGGAAAATAAGATGAGAAACAAAAATAGAAAAACCACAGTAGACGAGAAAGAAAAAAAAATGAAAAACAGAACAAGAAAACCCACAGTGGCCGAGAGGGGCAAATCAGGGTAAAATGCATTTTCACATGCTATGGAAGGGTGTAAGATCCTAAAAAAAGAGATCCTGAAAAGTGAAAGAAGTTTTTAATCGAGTAATATCTTCTACAGTTTTTTGGGTTCATTTATTTAATACTATAGACAATGTTAAAAACGATTATCCGGCTGTAACGACAGTATCATAATTTCTCATCGAAGCGTAATTCTCAGAATTAAAAACTTAAAATGGAGAGTGAATGATGTCTGCACGAATGGTGATGACGCTGAACGGAATAAAAAAGAGTCAGATGCAGCAAGCAAAACTCAGTGTAACACGCAAGTCTTTCTCTTCTTCTTTCCTCTCTCGTCAGGGAGCTTTCAAGTAAAGCTTAACCTCTTCGAGACGGGAGAGTCATATATGCATTCTCAGGGTACCGATAACCAGGGTAAAAAAAAGACAAAACTGGTAGCCAAACTATTTTAATAGCACTTTATTTATGGGGGTAATAATAGTTTGCTTTTTTTAATTCACCATGACTTAGTTCGAATTAAAACTTGCATAGTTACACTTTTAACACACTAGGATTGGATGATTTAAAGTGAAAGCAAAAATAAGTCTGTCAAATTAGCTATGTCCCAACATAAGCTACCGCTTTTTATTTTTTACTATCCTGATTCCGTACGAATACATTTATGACTCGCCCGTCTCGAAAAGGTCAATCACACGCATGGCAAAAAAATTTTAATTTTTTTTTCTTCATCTCTGCCTAGAATCACCATCTTTCAGGTTACAAATATCGTTTTAATTAATATTTTTTCACTGAAATAATCACGCTTTGATAAGAAAAAAAACCTACATGCTGCCATTTAAGAGCTCTATAACCATGAGATTATTATTAATGCTGTTCTTGAGCACATACTTTATTATATTTCTAAACAAAATTTTGATCCATTTTCTTATATGGAATTTCATAACGCATACAGTGGGGAATTATTTATATCGGAGGTGAAATTAATTTAGAAAGTTTAACTCAGCAGAATACAATTCATTTAGTGAATTTAATTGTGAAAAATTGCATTCATTTAGTGAACTTTTAACTTTTTGTAATAGCTTAGTAAACTTTTTGGAACAACTTAGTAAAATAACTCAAACCTTAAACAATAATTAAGAAAATTAAATTAAAAAATTAAGATAAACAAAAAATTAAAAGTGAATGCTAACATATTTATATTATAATCACTCTATTTCAATGCGCTCTGAAGCATTTTCTATACAGCATGCTTTAAAATATTTTTAATAATGTTAATTTAATTTTTCTATTTCAAATATTAAAACTTAGATAAGAAAAAAACAAGAAAAAAATGCTACATATACAATGAATAATATATTTCAAAGCTACATACCTCTTGACGAATTTCTGGAAAGGCTATTCGAAGAGCCACAGTCCAAGCGTTATACAAAGTAGCTATTGCTACCGCAGCCTGTTGTTATAGAAAATTTTTTAAGTATTAATACTAGTCACACAAATGCACTAAAACAGTGCATAAATTTAGTCGATAATAATAAAATGAAAAGCTTGTCTGTGTGCGTGTCTTTCTCATATAGCTCCAGAATCACTTGAGCTAGTGTCCTGAAATTTAGAGAGTGAGTGAAAAGGGTCATTTTAGTGATGATCCTAAAAAATTGGATATTTGCAACTCGAAAAAAAGGGAAGTAATTATGTCTAACCATGTGATTTCAACTAGATGTCAGGCGTGAGTGTCGAACCTGATTTTTTTCTGTATCGACAAATGCCACGATGTACCTACGAAGACGTTATTTGCAGGCATCCAATTGTTCAAAAACTTTAATTACATTCTTCAAGAGAAATATTTGAAATTTTTTTTTCATTGGTTCAGACATCACCGTTGCTAAATAAATAGCTTATAGCGGTAGCGTAGGTGTGCTACGCTACCAAATTAGTACTCCTAAAACTATTCTCGTGTTAATTTTGCTTATAGGCATGTTTTTAAAACGTCTTTCTATGAAACTAAATAATTTAAAACCAATGGTTATTGAAATACAAAATGTGCATTAAAGAGCAAAATTAATAGAGAAATGATGCTAGTATGTTTAGGAGAAACGAAAAAAATCTGCATAAATTATTAATGATAATGATGCTGGTTTAATTTTGGAAATTGAAAAACTTGAAATAAAGAAAAATAATAAGCAGTTGCAAAATTTATGGAGAAATGGAACTAATTCGTTTAAGGGAAAGGTCAAAATTTGCCATACCATTTTTAACGCTAATAATGCGAAATTAATTTAATAAATAGATACTAATTGAAATAAAAAATTAGTTCGTGTACTGAAAACCAAATTAATGGAGAAATATTATCAATTCATTTAAGAGAAGCGTAAAAATATGTCAAATTCTTAGTGACACCAGTAGTCCTTAATTAATTTTGGTAATAAGGTCGAATTGAAACAAAAAATAAAAAATAAGCTGAGTACTATAAAATTAAAAAAATAGAGAAATAGTACTAATTTGTTAAATGATATTCGTATAGAATTCGTTCATATAATATTTTTGTAAACTTCACACCTGTAAAGACGAATTTAGTTTGGTGTAGTTCCTTAAAATTGTATAATTTATTTTGGCAAAGGAACGAAAAAGTGATTTGAAATCTTTTCAAATTCCTTACTTTATGATTGTAAAAATAACATTATTTTAAATTTTGGGATTTTCAAAGTTATCTTTATTATTTTTACAAACTACATTTTTCAACACTTCAATAAAACTTTGTTATATACTTGCACTTCAAGAAGAAGAAGACCACGGATACCCAGGCATGTGATCAATGACTTCAGAGCCAGCTGATCATTTATAAGCAATATAGCGCTCCTAAGTTGATCTAAGTTTCGAATCATAAGTTAGAATGTTAATAACGGGAAGTTAACTAAATACAGCGTCATATCACGCGTCGAATTTGTTGAAACACAATTCTTTTACGTCTGCATCGCTTACTTAACTTAGATTTATTATTTGCTTATGCATTTTATTGTAACCGTGATATATCTTTGCTTAGTGTACCTGGTAACTTCAATGCATAATTAGCTTAATTATGTTCTAGATGGGTTCCTGCCTGTTTTTGTGTTAAGTAATAAATATATAGTGAAAGAATTGAAATTTTTGTGAAAGAGTCGTCGTGTAAGAATATAGAAAGTGTCTCTTAAGAGAATTTATGCTTGACGGGCATGGCTTACTGGAAATAGAATGGAAAGAACAGTTTCTAACGTTAACAAATACCATGTTTCAGCAACCTATCAATATCGATATATCCACCCTACTTAGCTTGCAGGCATCCCGATGTTTAAATGCAAGCGTAATTTTCACTATTTTTTTAGACTTATAAGCAAATGCACCTATAACTCACTTTTTTGAAAACAGGTTTTAGAAAAATTAATTAACGTACCGTCCAATAACAAACGATAGGACTGTCTGGATCGAATATGAATCTGGGAAGCTGTCTTTCTTCCTATTTAAAAAAGAAATAGAAAAAAAATCTAATATTAGAATAAGTTTGTTTATATAAAATTGTTTAATTTTTTTGTAAAAAATTAAGACAAAGGAATAAAAAACACGTATATTTTTTTCCATTGAAACAACATGAACTTAAGTAAAAATGCATCATTTTCTTCTAAACTTAATGCTAGCTGCACTGTAAAAAATTCCAGATAAAATTACGGTAAAAAGTATTAACAATCCTGTGTGCAATGTATTTAAGTGCAGTGATTCAATGATTTTACAGTAAATACTACTGTAAAAATTATAGTGAATCAGATATTTTGCTCCGTAAAAACTTAAGAAAAGGAATGGATTTTACGATAGAATGTACGGGCATGCAACGTAGCAATACTTTTTACAGCAATTTTATCCCGAATTTTTTACAGTGTAGATATTTTTATTAAAATAGCTTAGCTTCACACTTTTAAATGTCTAAAAATGTGCAAAAATATAAATACCTTAACAATTGTCTCCATATGTTTACTAGCAGACAAAGCCTTCCACTTTTTAAGCTTAGAGGCAGGATTGCTTGGTGTGGATGTAGCTGTAACTGAGTTGGAACTGTTGTTGTTTGTGTCATTTTCTTTACTAACAGAATTCTCGTTGCTTCTATTATTATAATAATAGATTTAAAATATAATAATTAATAATGAAAACATATTTAAAATGACAATATGTTTTAATGATAGGTATAAGGATTACATTTGTGGAATTGTAAAAACCTCTTTAGATTATTGTATTAATCTTCGGAGAGTAAAAAAAAATAATAAATAACTAAGTGAAATAAAATTGATCATAAATTAGAAAGTCGGTAAATTTTGAACTAGTTTGAAATTTGTAAAAATTTGAGCTTATGATATTTAAATATTTTACATTTTATTTATGAAAGATACATTTACATAATTTATGGATTTAAATATCTAAGAGAAGTGATTTGAATATATAGTTAATGACAATCTCAATGAAATATATGCATAAAACTTAGTTCTAATTTAAACTATGTGATATCGAAATCTTCATTAGAAATCCCCGAATAATCCCCCCATAAGAAAAACTCTTTTGAATCGAAAAATCAATTTAAAAAACATAAGAGGAGATAGAAGCATGAACTTTGCTGCATTATGCTTTGGAAACAAGATATTTATTCTAACCCAATTCAAATTTTTGCTACAAAATTTAACGACAGATGAAACTTCTAAGTTAAAAAAATTATGTTTTAAGTCATTCGATTTGAACTGAAATATTTGCAAGAACGTCAGTTAATTTTGTTTTCAAAATAGTTATGTAGCTGCTGCAATGAACTATCATTTTGAAAAGATAGTATTAAATTTCTTTTCAGTTCGAAGCACTATCTTTTGACAACCTTTATAACTAATTTAGTAATTATGCAAGAAAAATATAAATTTTCTTTTAAAAAAACGCAACAATCATAATCTTTTTCCGTTTAATAAAATTTCCTAGTCACCGATCATTTTTGGGATATGAACTAATTACTAAAATATATTGCTATATCCCCTAATTCGTATTACTTTTATATTTATTTAATAGCACCGTTATTAACAAATGAAACTGAATTTCACGTCTTCTGTTATGTATTCAAATACATAAAATATTTAAATAACACATGCTCGTACCGTATGTAAAAATTTAATATTATATAAATGTAATATATTATTAGCTATTTTAAAACTTGTTATACCAAGTTCTGAATTTACAGAGTTTCTCACTTAAAGTTTAATTGTTTTGTAGTTCTTTTTTTAAATCTATATAAAAGCATCCCCAAAAATATCCTGTTTTCAGGCATGAGGACTAAAATACCGGAATTTCGAGACCAACGGCATGATCAGAATTGCACACTAACACAACATACTCATCTATTTAAATTTGGGTAGGCTTCAAGCTAACTCGAAGGCGGAACTCATGTTTCAAAATGGCACCTCAGTGCTTCAACCACTGCGTCTTACAAGAGAGATGTTACAATTATGACAATGACAGCTAACGTAACTTATGAGTTTATACATAGACATGCATGTGGCACATTCTTAAAATTAATTTTATGATGCATGTTAAGGTAATAAAGACCTAAAAAATAATCAATTTTTAACTTCAAAATGGTAGTTTAAAAAATTTGAGTAATCTAAAAAATAGCAAAAATGATTTTTAATAATTTAAACGAATTGTTAAAAATCTTTCAATCACCTATAATTATAAAATATATTCAAAATTATAAGTATATAAAAAAATGAAAGTCAGTTTTTGCTCTTTCTTTTTCGAATCATGTTCGGTCATCTGATATTCTGAATTCAGTCTTCTCATATTCTTAATATTCCCTTAGTTTTTAGTATTTAAATCAGTATTTGACGTTATAAGTCAAATCATTTATAGATGCAAAGAAAAATCTTCATATAAACTTAGTAATTAAATATCTTAAGAAATATAATATTTTTGAATTCCGTGTATTGTACCAAAAAAAGGATATATTGAGGGTCTCAGGAGAAGATGATTATGAATCCGTAATAAATAGGAGCTTTTACAATAATGTATAAAAAGTACCTGTTAAAAGTCTCATAGAATTGTGCTAGATTTACTCTTATTGTGCTAGTATTTATGTATCTTATCCACTGTAAAAAATTACTGTAAGAAATAACAACACTCAGGGTACCAGTATTTTTTGCGGTTAAATCCATTTTTACAGAAACATGCTACGAAGCAAAAAACATCTGACAGACTGAAATTTCTACAGTAATAATTTCCGTAAAATCACTAAAGCAATCTAATTTGATAAATATTACTATAAAAATTAAGGTATAATATTTTATGGTAAAAATGGATTTTACGGTAAAATGAACTTTGAGTGCGATGCACCCAAAGTGCTGGTACTTTATACCATAATTTGATACTGAATTTTTCACAGTGTAGGGTAAGTCTTGGTTTAATGGCCATAGAAAGAGAGATGGCCAATCTAAGTATCTTAGATATTTTTTAATAGATTGCAGCAACTATTGTTTCATAGGAAATAGTTTAACTTTTTTATTAATTTCGACAATGTGCTGCTTTTTTGTAACAATAAAGTGTAGTTAAAATTGTAATGTTTATTTTATTTAGGTTTAAATATGTTTTGTGAATCTTCGTAATTTATTGATTTTTAATATCTAGGTTATATTTTTCTTTCAGCTAGCTGGACCTTTAAGACGCATATATAGTCCAATCCTTGTTCTTGAGTATAATGAAAAGGAATGTATTGTTGGAGTGGTGCTATTACTTAGGTGGCCATTTATCTTCAGTTTTAGGCGAGATGATGACCACATAAAATCGAGAAATGATGACCATTTTTCATGTGCAGAAATAGAGACTGTAAGGTTTTTAAAAATTTAAAAAGTTATAAAATATGTGACAAACAGGTTCACTAAAGTATTGCATATGGTACATGGCATAATATGCAATGGCTCCATAAAATATGTAAAACCTCTCAAAAGCGTTGAAAAATGTGGTAAAATATTTTTGAAAGAACTGGATTAAACCAGTTAAATAAAATTTATTTATTAGATAATATTTATTATTTTTTTACGGTAAAATGTATTTATTTTTAATTAATCGTAAGCTATTCATTGTTAACTGTAGGAAAGTGTTATTTTCAAAAAAAATTTTTTCATTATTTTCCTCATTTTTTTAAAAATTATATTGAGTATACCTAAACGTTTCTTGTATCTCTATTCTTATTACTTTTATTTTGATTTGAAAAAATATAGCCATATATCCCATACTTACCCTAGATTTGGTAAATTTTTGTATGGGAAGAGTAAGATTTTTTTAAAAACCCGAATATGTTACTGGCAAAAAATCCAACTCCCCAACTGCCATTGCCATTTAGAGATTTTTGAAGTCTATTTATACGCCATAAAATAAAATATCTACTTATTCCTTTGATCAATAAAAATCTTAAATAATTCATTCACATCTTGTGTTTAAAACTAATTTAAATTTATAATTAAAAAAAAACAACAAAAAACTGTAATTTTTTAAACAAAAAACAAAATAATTCTATGTTTAATTATTGAAATAATTTTATTACATACTGCCTTATAAAAGATAGATCAAACAGGCGGCTAAAGATCAATAAAAAAACTGTGGTCAGCAATTACTTTGATAAAAAAGATTTTTCAAAGTTTTATTTCACATTTATTTCGCATTTTACTTAAGGTTTTCATTTCAACAAAATTGCATACGAAAAGCAAGCAAGCAATTTCAACAAAATACCGAAACTACACTAAAATTTAGCTTAATCTTTTTTGGATTATTTTTATCACGGATTATAGCTTATTTTAATGTGATTGGAGTGCTGGCGTACCAGCGCTCCAATCATAAATCATAATAAAATGTATAAAAGCCATTTTATACATTTCAGCTTAAATGGCAAAGTATAAGCATCCCTAGGCATAAAATAATTTTAAAACCATATAATGGCTATCATTTTAATATGGAGATAAAAATTAACTATACTATACGACTAGGTGACTATTAACTAGGTGATTATGCAACTACTAATTGGAAACTATCATTGCCAATCGGCTATCTGAAGTGTGTACTATAAAGTACAGATTACAAACTAGGTATATATATCAATGTAGAATTATTTTAAAAAGAATATTGTATTTCTAATAATAAAAATCAGAAGATTGTTATATTGTAAATTTTTATGTGATTTTTAATTAACATACAATTATTTAAAATTGCTGAAAAATTGCTAATAGTTAAAATTACAAATACTAGTTAAAATAACAAATAGTTAAAATTGCTGAATTTTAATTCGAATTACAGTTAAAAAAATTGCATAGAAAGAACAATGCAAGAGTTCATGGAACAAAAATTTTCTAGCGCATAATTTTGCTGGTTTTTTATAAATAATTATTTGAATGAAAAAATGCTTAAAGTTAAATTGTAATTTAAGCTGAATTTCCTTCTTTTATAATTATTGCTTTGATTGTAATGCGATAAACAATAGTTAATGTGCTCTCGCTAGAAATAAAATTTAATATATCCAACAAAGCTATCATTGAAGCGTAATTTAAAGATAACTTAAATGTATTTTTTATCTATAAAGTTATCATTTGAATGTAACTTCTTATACAAAAAGGATTTGTTCAAACGATCAAGATAAAAAAAATTATACTTTGATAAAAATAAAATTCATAGCTATTTACCTTTCTATTCAAATTTTATTTCTTTTTTCAAAATCTGTTAATAGTTAGAAATAAAAAACGAGGCATCCGGAAAAACTATTAGTTAGAATCATTTTAGTTTTTTGACGTTTTGAATTAAAAATAAAATAAAAAATATTATAATATAAGAATGAAAAAAATGCAACCTTATTATTTAATTATTTTAAATCAATAAAAAATCAGAAAATAATAAATTGTTTTCGAAAATTATTTTCATCTTAAGTTTATTTTTATATTTTTTACCTCTTGCATTTACGTTAAGCTATTTTTGGTCGTTTGTTTTAAATTTAAGCACGTTACTTTTGCAAATTTTTTAAATGAGGTAATGGGAATCAACCAAAACTGAACTGGAAATGTATATTTCACTGAAAAAAAACTATTTTTAATTATAGCAATTTTTCTAAAATTAAAAACTCAATCAAAATTTTAAATTTTTCGGTTCAAATTATTATTCTTAAAAATACAACAAAAAAGGTATAATAAAAACATTAAGGTGTTAACACTTTAAGTAAAATCATAAACTCACCCAACTTCCGTTGAATTAGACATAGTAATTTAGCTCTTGAATAGTTGCTGAATACATTAAAAAAAAGAAATTAGCAATGCATAAAAACAAACAATATTATCTATATTTACATTTAAATCTTAACTAACATTGCAAACAGAGTAAATGAAATTCGAGATGTCAAATGTAATTTCCAAAATAAGTTCTTGAATGCATTGGAGTTTCTAAAATTATTCGTCTAAGTGTTTGTTAAAATTGTTTCATTAAGTAATAAAAATATATTGATAAGTACAGCATTAAATTCTGTACGAATTGAAAGAATTGAGATGCGAGAGATCAGCATCTTTAAAAACAAAACAAAAAAATACGCTTAATAGGTCAAGTTTATTGATAGAGGTTCATTGGAAGGCAGGAAGTCAGTGTTTAATTCATGATATTAATCTGTTCCGCAGAATATTGTCACGTGGCTACTACAATTATGGTTCTCATAAAAATATCAGGATAAAATGAGAAAAAAATATTAACCTATTTTGTTATTTTTAGTTTTATGTATGGTATATTTTGTCAATGTATGTTACATTCTATAGAATGTCTGCCATTTTTAGACAAAGCATTAAATTATTTTGAAGATACAAATTGTATCAAATTCTTAGACATTCTATGGAATGCCTTCAATGTTTCGAAAGCCGCCTCCCTCTAAAAAATTCCTAAAGTGTAAAAAAATGCGATAAAAAGTACAGGCTCACAGGATAATGGTACTTTTTAACGTAAATTTCATTTTTACCGGAACATGTTACGGAACAAAAAATCTGATCCACTGTTAAGAATTTATTGGAAAAAATGGTTAAATGACTATTTATTTAATAGTTATTTCACTATATTCAAACAAATCAGTCAAGTATCCATAAATAAGATGGCATTTAAATTGTTAACTGTGAGAAAAACCGTTTATTAACTGATTTACCTAATACAGTTGAACAACCAGAATTTTATCGCAGCAACGAGGCTCACTTAATGAACTCATTAGTTCCTTACGGTTGGGAACATATTATTGCCACGAGGGCATCGTCAATCTCATGACTGATAGAACGGCGGTTCGTGTCCTAGCTTTGACATCATAATATTTAATCCATTTCATTCAACACTTGAAAAGTTTCCAGTGTCCTGCACTCCCCAATTTGAGACCCTGGACTATTAGAATACGATACTCTTATTTGCGCATAGATTCGTATTTACTATTTTGAAATGTCATAAAAAAGAAACAAAATAGTAAACTTTATATTGTTTCTTTTTGATGACATTTCAAAAACCTTAGACAATGTACCGACCATTGGTTTGATTTGAACGAATTCAAACATGTCTAAAATGTTGTGATACAAATCTAGTTAACGCTTTTTAAAATTGGAATCGCTCCACCATTTTTTTTTTTTTTTNTTCCTTTTTTTTTTTTTTTTTTTTTTTGCTTGCAAATAAAAATCAAGTTTTCATAGAGAATATCATTAAATCATTCCTTTATTCAAATTGCACAGCACATTTTTGTTTTGAATTTTTGAACCAAAATAATATTTATAGAATCAGCTTAGTATTCAAATAGAACTCTAAGAATTTTCTAGAAAGCTAAAAGTCATTTTTAATCCGTAAAAATTTTAATATTTTTGTTGAGGAAAAAATATAAGTAAACGGAAAGGAAGGAAGAGAAAAGAAGGAAGGAATAAGGAAAAGAAATGTAAGTAAAACCAGACTAAACCAGCTATTACAAACAGTTAGGATAATAAACAGATTGATTACGCAATTAAAGTTTTGAATAAAAAAATTTAAAATAGATTCTGTCTTGATAAATTTTTTTTTTTTTTTTTTGCATTTTTGGGACATTTTTGCAATTTATAGTCGTCAAGTTTTTGATGCTGTTTTAAAAATAGAAAAATGAGGTTAAACTATATATACGATATACAAATAAATATATTAAAAAAATAATTTAGTCAACAAAATACTTTTTCCCTATTTCAACTGTCTTCTTCTCACTGTTCTCACCATCGCTTACAATTCTTTATTATAGTTTTCGTTTATTGATGATACATTCACGATTACGTTTCAACGCGTTCCGACCGAGCTTTCAATCTTAAGGAAACCCAGTCACAGTATTATTTCACCCCAGAAGACCATCCTCTACTAAATCAAGTATTTGTCTACAAACCCAGTCGGGATACCATTAACATACCTGTACACTTTTAATCTTTCGAGGATGATTTTCCCCAGTGGTAGTAAAATGGAATTTAAAATACAATTTTAGGCAGAAACATACGCTGTATTTTGAAAAAGCTTATGCTGAGAACCACAACAGTATTACATATTAGTATACACCGAAGAGCCATTACATTATGACCACCCTCCATCTATAACAATGGGCTCGCCCAGGTTTTCATAGTTTCTCGCCTAGGAATAATGTTTTCATGGGGCACATTAGGACCCATAATCCTCATAGAACAATCCCTGAAATCTGTAAGCTACTTGAGCATAGTTGCAGACCAGGTTCACCCATTCATGGCAACAGTTTTTTCTGCGGGGGATGGTGTTTACCAACACGATAATGCACCATGTCATAAAGGTCGAATCGTCGAGGAACATTCCAGTGACTTTCAAGTCATGTCTTGGCCCCCAAATTCACCTGACCTTAATCCAATAGAGCATTTGTGGTCCTACTTAGAAAACCACATTCGTACTGCCACGCTTCCCCCTCGCAATGTGAGGGAATTGAAGGACCAGTTGGTGAGTGCTTTGTACCAGATACCTCAGACTACCTATCAACACCTTGTGGAATCAATGCCACGGCGGGTGCTAGCAGTTTTGAGGGCTAAAGGTGGTCCTACATGTTATTAGCAGGGTGGTCATAATGTAATGGCACTTCGGTGTATATGCTTAATTTTTTAAAAGATAGTGGTGGTCAAAATGATTATAAATTAAGTTTATAAATGCAAGGAATATGTGGAAAGCATACATTTTACCACCACTTTAAATATAGAAATAAAAGTTTACGCCAAATGCGTAAAAGTTGGCAGGTATGCATTAATCAAGAGAAGTTTATTTAAATATTTGCAATTACTTGAAATCAGCTTTTTACTATTACTAATAAATTTCATGCAATTAATTCAAAAATTATTATAATTAAAGTAAATTAATTTGTTGACAGAAAATGAAGAACTATTATTTTTTTATCAAAAATAATTTTTAAAAAAAATCGAAATTATTTTAGCTATATTAATTGAAAAACTTAGTGAAAGAGCCAGGTAACATTTTCAAAACGAAAAATTTTATTACCAATTTATTAGGAGGCTGGACTAATAATTCTTTGCTTCATTTTATTTACCACTGCCTTATTGTAATAAAAATCATGCAAGCATTCTAAAAATTAATATGGATTAGTTATGGATGAGAAAAAAGTAAGCGTAAAAACAGTTTTGTTACATTAGACATACCCATGTAGACGCAACCACTTTATGTTATTTTATCTAATTTATTAATTCTCCTAAAATTATCATTCACCTGGTTCCATCAAGTTCTTTAATTTTGTCGGTATATGCCTTTCAGTTTGAGCATGATTGCGTAGTGTTTCTCAGTACTGATTTAATGATTTTTTTCTTCTTTTTTTATTTACCCCATGCGAAGAACGGGAATTTAGCTAGTATATGAACATTAAAAGTGTCAAATGAGATTTATTAAAGGTTTATATTGATTTTTATTAGATACAAAGACTTGTTATTTTACTGCAGTACTATCATTAAAAAAAATTAAAGAAATCTATCACACTTAGCATTTTTTTAAATTTCAATTTATGTAAGATCATTCGTTGAAAATAAAGGCAATTGATGCTGCAAAATTAGATATTTTACAACACGTATTTGGGTAAACCTAAAAGAAAATTTGTTCAAATATTTGGTGAACACTTAATACATTGCCTCATATAAATTCCCATTTACAGATTTTCATATTTTACATAAAAACATATGGCGTATTACATTAAAGAAACAAAATGGCTCATATGGCCCTCAATGATAATTTTTCTTTACACGCTTGGCGGTATTTACTCTTTCTCCTTGCCTTAAAACATTGGATTTTAAAATTTTCATATCCAAAATATAAATTTTCACATCAACATAATCATTATTATTATTGCAAACAAATTTGAAATATCATGGCTTTGAGAAAAAGTAACCATCTAAAAAAAGCTAATAATTAAAATAAAAATATCACGTCTTTTTATAGAATATCTACAAGTCAAATTTGAGTTAGTTTAGATTAATATGACTCTCAAAAAACGGAAAATTTTCAGAAATGTTATAATATTACAATTAACTGGTAACAAATGTAACAATGCTTCAGAAAAAAAATTATAATGCTTTGTGTTCTATGAGCTCGATTTATTTCCCTTAATTTTTGAGGTAATCACAACAACTTATTATATATATGGGTCATTCTCACAAAAACAGTCATTTTCATGTCCCCAGTATATTTTATGTTTGTTTTACAGCTTACGAAAAAAAAAAAATTCAGGGAAAGTGTCTTTCGGAGTGCAAGCTAACAAAAGAGTAAAAATAAAATCATCAATTTTTATTTTTTATTTATTTTAGGTAATTAAAATATACCAATATGTCATTCCCTCACTTAAGTTTATAAATTA